ACGTGGCCAGGCTCAGAGGTATGGTGGACGACGTGGCCGTGTTCAGGTGCATGATGGTAGGTGACGTGGCCGTGTTCGGGTGCTTGGTGGACAGTGACATGGCCGTGTTCTGGTGGCTGATGGTGGGTGACATGGACCTTGTTAAGAATATAAATGAAATAATTAAAAATATCTAAACCTATTTGCTTAAAATTTTGAATTTTTGTTATAATCTCAAATTTTATTCTCATTAATATAAGGTTAAATGATGGGAATGAAGAATGATATTGTAATATATTAGCTTTTTAACTTTTGAATTGAGTGATAATTAACATACCTGTCCAGTCTCATGCAACCCATGAGGCTGGGTCATGACGGTCGGATCAGAGTGTGAGCCCGAATGCGTTTCGTGGACGACCACGTGCCCTGGTGTTATTTCAGTGTGTGAATTTCCATTGGACCCACCCACAACCACCACCTCGTGCGATGGAATATTGGCCGTTTCGCCACCGTGATGCTGCGGCGGATGATGATCCGGCGGTTGGGCAGCAGCATGAGGATCCGTGGGCTGTTCGGGATCGGAACAGATGGTGGCAATCTTCCTGGTTTTCTTAATAGCTTTCATGATCTTGTCAGGATCAGCCCAACCAATGATGGTCAATTTCTGCTGAGGAAAGTCTATGTAGAGATCGTAAATGCCTGCAAAAGAAGAAAGAACAAGGGAGTGAATAAGAGAGGAAGAAGAAGCAACATTTCAAACAAATATATATTAGCTCACCATTGATCCCATATAATGCTTTCTTGATCTTTTGAACACACCCATTACAGTCCATCCGGACCTTGATCTCAGTGATCTTGGGTTTCTGCAGAAATCAAAGCATTTTAGGCAAACGATGAGATGCAGAGGAAGATGAAGAAGAAGGATTTTACCTCGAGCTCTGGAATCATGAGGGAGAGAGTAGAGAGAGAAGGAGGAAAGGAAAATGGGAAGACAGAGAGATTATGTGGAGGGTGGAGAGATTATAAACGAAGAATCAGAATAGAGAGGGGGGAAAGAAGAAGAGAGGGAATATTTAAAAGGGTGTGGGACATGCAAGGAATCTTTGTTGGAAGAGAGAAAAATGAATTGAAACCGACCATTTTGGAAAGAATATAAAGGAAAGAAGAGGGTGGGGCGTTTGGGTTTGGATTTTGCATATGCAATGTTCGTGGTGTCTGTCCACATTGTAAAACAAATGTGAAATGTGATGAATCGAGTATTTTGGAGATTAATGGCTCTGTTTTTTGGGTGATAAAAAGTTGCACACAGCTGCTTTAGTTTACTTTACATTATTCTGCCTAATCCATGCCTTCTGGCTTGCCTTCCTCCTACCTTTCAATCTTTACCATTCGTCTCTGCCACTCTGGACTTGGAATCTACACAATATATATATATATATATATATATATATATATATATATAATCTTTTTTGAGCCCTTTTGATGGAGAGACGCTCAAACCCAAAAGACGAGTTCTTTTGACTCATGCATTTAGTCTTAAGGAACGGTCCAATTGACAAGGATTTAGAGTCTTTTGGTCATAATGGTTTAAAGGTTTAAATTCGAATATTCTGATGAGCTTAATACTAAAAACTCTTGGCATTGGGGCCAAAGCTGATGAGTTCCACCTTCCAATTCTAACAAAAAGAAACAGTGGTATTTCGAGCGTTGGATTAGCTCTAGCTTTGAGTGGGGAGAATTTAAGAAACTTGAGTTTATAAAACCCATGTTCGTGAATGAGTAAGTTTGGAATATTGTTGAAGTCTGAAGATTTTACCAAAAACATGTTGAAAGTACGTGATGGACTTTTACAAATTGAGAACCAAACCGGACTTGTGTTGGGAAATAATCCTCTAACCTAACGTAATATAACAAGTTCTCGTCCCGTAGGACGAAGCAAATTATAGATAAGTAATAATAAAAAGAAACAAAAGATAGGAGTTTAGTTTATCTTGGTTAGTTCCAAACTCGGGACTACATCTAGTTTTTGTAACGGTAGGTTCACTAGGTAGGATTTGATGAAGCGTATCCTCACAGGTGAACGGACTGCTGACACATTCTTTTCCCTCTCCTCATTTCAATACAGCCACCACCGCTTCCATTCTTGACGTTTGAAATTGATTGTTTCTAGTTGAAAGTAGTATTGAATTAATGCGATTATGGGCAAAATCCGGGGGTGGCTCCGGCTGTCGCTAAAAGCTGCGGCTCCTCCAGGTGGTGGAACTGGAAGCTGCCGCGCATCGCAATTGGCATACACTAAAATCAAAAACCCAATTAAATTCTCAACTGTTCTGATGTTGCTATAAAACTGGAGTGATTGTGCAGCGAAATTAGAAGTAAAAATGGCGGGTGGCGGTGCGATTAGTTACAGTGAGGAGTTCATCAGCCCGGTGGCGGCGGCGCGGCTGTTCAGGGCGATGATCGTGGAGGCGGACCACCTGATTCCTCAGCTGCTCCCTCAGGCCGTCAAAAGCATCGAGCTCTTGCAAGGCCACGGCGGCCCTGGCACCATCAAGAAGATCACCCTCGCCCAAGGCCAGCCTCCCTTCCCCTGCTTTATATTTGTTTATGCTTTTCGGACAATAAATCACTGCTGAAATCAAAAGTTTAAATCGATGGATTTTCGTCCCAATCTCTACCCATTTAGTTTTTCATCCTGTAAAATTCTCCACAAAATTAAATTTTACAGGGGTAGTGGAAATTTCTTGCGGGGAATTCGTGGATCGAGTTCCCCATTTCTTCTTTTACTTTGTAAATTTTTTTTCAATAAATATTTTTTTAAAATAATTTTTTATTTAATTGTCCAGTTTCTATCGTCTAATTCTCGCACATATATATATTGGCAACGGTAAAGAAGAATACATGGATTTTTCTGAATTTTTTTAGCATAGGTACGTGTAAAGAAGATGATATAGTTATTTTAGTATATATTTAGTAAAAGAATGAAATTTCTTTTTATACATCTATGGATAAAGAAATAATATAACTAATTAAGTGTATATATATAAATGATGAGCGACGCAAAACGTATTCCCCATCCCGTCCCACGAGGAATTTGAACGAGGATTCTCGACCCGGGTCCCCATAGGGATGGACCCATAGGAAAAATGAACATCCCTAATACTCCCTTAGGTTTTAAAAATTAGAACCAAATCCAAATTCAACACGTGAAAATCATAATAAATAGAGGAAAATAATACTGTATGAGTTCAAATTCAAACATAGGAGATACTTCCTACTCTTGTCTAATACCAATATTGGAGATAAACAAACCATCACTCAACTCAAAAACTTGTACGAACCAATAGATTTGGTAAATTTAAGATTTGGTAAATTTAATTCATGATTCATTAAATTAAAGTGGTGATTTATCATTTATGGCAGGCAGCGAGACAAAAATTGTGATCCACAGAGTGGACGAAGTGGATGAAGAGAAGTTGAAGTATGGGTACAGTGTGATCGAGGGAGTGGGTCTAGGAGACAAGGTTGAGTCCATCTGTTACGAGGTGAAGTTCGAGGGAAGCACCAATGGGGGAACCAAAGGCACCACCATCGCCCGTTACCTGCCGAAGCCTGGAGCAGAGGTTACAGAGGAAGAGATCAGGGCCGAGGAGGCCAAGGCCAAGGCCATTTTCAAGGTCATTGAAGCCTATCTCATCCACACAAACCCACATTAACCCACCTATGCTTTTGCTAATTATTTTCAATTTCAATGTTGGTTAAAAAACTTTCAAACTATACATGTTTCTTGTTACTCATCAACTCATCCTCTCAATGAAAAAATTCCAATTCCGTCTTCATTAAGTGGTTTTGAGAGTTGATATCGAATCGATCTTTGAAAGATCATTTTCATGGAATTGTTTGGCGTGTTTGGAACTTTGGAATAACTGTATTGTATATATTTGGTGTGAGGGAGCGGTGAACTAAATAATTTAAAGCGGGTTTATTGAGTAGATTTGAGTAGGGTTTGGATTTATTAAGTCTTTGGAGGTTTGTTAAGTCTTTTTCAATTATTTCTTACTACACCTATTGGTAGGTGAAATAGAATTTAGAGCATAATTCAATTAGATAAGAATGTCTATTTCAAGAGTATAAGAATCAAAATAAACTAAAGTAAAAAATATAAGTATGTATTATTTATTTTGAAAACAGCAAACATTATAATTTACAACTATTAAAAAGAAAAGGGAGTTTAAGAGATGAAAATTATTTCTTCATTAATTGAAGCGACAAAGAATGTTTTCGTCGCAAAAACTAGGGATGAAATGTGTCTTCATTGCAAATAGAAAAATAAAGGCACATTTTTAAAAATCAAAACGTTGCGGTTTTGATATTAGGCAATAAAAATGGAAAAAGAACAAATACAAAAAAAATAAAAAATAAAAAAATAAAAAGAAAGAGCAACACCCAGAAGCATATGTAGTGAATTAGAAGAAGTTTAGGCATCGGGGTTGGCCAAGAGATAGGCCTCGATGGCCTTGAAAAGGCCTGCGGATTTGTCCTTGGCCACTTTAATCTCCTCTGGGTTCAACTCCACATCCTCTTTGGTGTAGTATTTGTTGTTGCTCCTGAGGATCGACCTGCCCTCCGCTGATGCCTCGACTGTTATCTCCGCCTCTGTCTTCTCTATCGCCCCTCCGATCACGTCCCCTTCGATTATGGCATACTTATACCTCAACTTCTCTTTGTCTAGTGCCAAAACTTTGTGCTTCACAAACTTGTATTTGCTCCCTGCCCAATCCAACCAAATACTTTCACCACTTAAGATACAGTACTCTGAAACAAGTAATGTTTTGACTAGTTGAGTTTAAAGAAAGTTTTTTTTTGCAGAAGAATTGTTATTCACTTGGACCGAAGTTGATCTGTTTCAAGGAGCCAGGGCCACCATCACCTTCAAGGAGCTCGATGCTGTGTATAGCCTGAGGAACAACCTTGGGGATGGGGTGTCCGAATCGAGGACGAAGGCCTTGAATGCCTTGGCTGCGGGGATGGCGGAGACGATTTCTGAGGCGTATTCTTGAACACCCATGATTGGAAAAGCTTTTGAAGCTGAAGGAGATGAAATGAATAAGTAGAGATTAGAGAGGAGATAATATGAAAATGTGAGAGGTGTGTGGAAGATGAGGTGCTATTTATAGTCTTAGCATGAATTAGGCTTTTGGCTACTCGTGAAAGTGCATTTTGGGGTTTCAAAATCAATGCCATGGCCTTTCCCTTTTCTTGGCAAGTGCAACTAATTAAGGCGAAGGTCACAAATAATAAGGCTTTGTAAATATGGATTTAGGTGAGGCGAATAGTTTTAAGGGGGTCAGTGGATTGGGTAAACCCACACATATTCATGTAAAAATAGTAGGTTTGATTTGATCATACAGTGACATGTTCGATTAAATAATTTGTTAAATTAAATTTGATATGTAATTTTCTTGTATCGAGTTGATTGAACATACAACATGGCATATTGTATATCTGTCAAGAAAAAAAAAACATGACATATTGTATAACTTAATAGAATATATAGTTTAATAAGAAGTTGTGATTGATCTGGTACATCCTCCTTAACTCAAAAGAAAGGAGATATTATATTTATTATACCTATAAAAATATATACTATATTTATAAATTCTACGAGAAAATTCTTTTTTTTTTGTTCATCTCGATGAGTCAAGTTATTATTCAACATTTTCTTTCTAAGTTTTAGCATTCTTATATCTTAAAATTTGTCATACTAAATTATATTATTAACATATGAAAGAAGACTTAAATATATTACTTCTAATAAATGTAAATAAAAAATCTATATATATCTACAAATAGCATTTAGCTTTTGGAGTTGTAAATAAATCAATGTGTGCTTGGACTAATTGATAATATTTTTTAAGAGTAAGCGTTGTATTGATTATCTTAACAAAACTTTAATAAATCAGTGTGTGTTTGGACTAATTGATAATATTTTTTAAGAGTAAGCGTGGTATTGATTATTTTAACAAAACTTTGGATTTATTTTTATGATTTATAAGGTCAATTGATTTTGGCGATGAATTAAATTATACCCTATTTGACGATGCATCACACCACATTATTGATTAAAACTCCAAATGTTTTATTTTATTATATTAAAGTTTAATAGCTCGCTATTGTTTTTAACCAACAAAATTTTCAAAACCAAACTATAGCAAATTGTTACTTTTAAAAATTGCTGACTCAAAATCACCGAAAGAGAGGGAGGTGATGGAAAAAATCTCATACATCCATCGCATGCAAATAATAAACAAAAACAATTGATAAATTAAAAAGAATTCTCTCCGACCCAGTTAGACAGGGATAGTTACAAATATGATAAAAAATTTTAAGGAAATAACAAATTTAGGATCTACATTTTAGATTTGCAAATATAGCAAAATTTTTAGAAAAAACGGAGGTCTAATAATAAAATGTCAAATTTACCCTCGTAGCATTGATATACCATTGATATAACACTGATATATATATACTGATATATCATTGATATAACTTCTTATATAATTATATTATTTACTATTTATTAATTTACCACTATATTATTGATATATCTTTGATATACCATTGATATAATACTGATATACCATTGATTTACTTCTGATATATCTATGATATCTACCAATATAATTTCTAATATGGTTTATCACTGATATACGTATGATATAACTATGATTTCTACTGATATAAATTATTATATGATTATATAATTTATTATTGGTTTACCATGCTGATATAACACTTGTATATCTGTGATGTATACTTGATATGTTTTTAAATTACTTCTTATATAACTATGATATCTACTAATATAACTTCTCATATGATCATACGATTTACCACTAATATAACTTTGATGCATCTATGATATATATTTAATATATCTCCAATTTACCATTGATATAACCATGATATCTACTGATATCTAACATTGATGCATTTGTGATCTATATCTGATGTATATTAGTGGCATACTATGCATCTCTAATATATTATTGATATTACAAATATATTTTGTATGTCACCGATATACATCAGATGTACATCAAATGTACATCAAAGATACATCAGATATATATCATACAAGATATACATAGGTATATCATTACAAAATTAGAGGTACATCAGATTTATATCAGATGTAGATCGAAAATATATCAGAGATCAATTGGACGTATATCAGATATACATCTATCGGACGTATATCAGATATACATCCATCAGACGTATATAAGATATACATCGGGTGTATATCAGATATCATAAGGGTAAAACTGGAATAATAAAAATTCCGAAAATAAAAATTTAAATATTTTGCCATATTTGATATACCAGACTTAAAATATTTCAATGGATAGAACTCAACAAAAACATGAACCAACTGGAGAACACCCCTCTTCCTTGTACTTTTCTAATGTGTCGAACAATTACTCTTCTACCAAAATAAAAATCTTATAGACATCCTTCACTTTTGGTAGTCATCAAGACACCTCGTAAAATTTCAAAAACATTAACGTTAGAACAATTTGTAAAAAAATTTAATATACATTTCTTTAATTTCAACTATTGGTGGTGAGAATTCAAACCTTCAACCTATGGATCAAAATATATATCTTAACCAATTCAACTATTCTTAGGTTGTACAGGTAGTGATTGAATTAAAATTAAGTAACAAAGAATATGCTTGATAAATTCCAAAAACCCATAATCTAAAAAGTAGGTGTAATTAAGTTGCAATTATAATGGGATTTAGCTAATCATTCTAGAATAAAAGACAAATTTACATAAATTTTTGGCAGTGGGTGAGGAAATTGGTCAAAATAGGGAGTCTGCTCTCATGTTGTTTTCACAAGAAATATATTTGTTTTCTTGTGGCCAACTTCCATTGGCCTAAAAAATTTCAAAACATATTATTTAAAAACATTGTTTTATTTGGGCGGCCAGTGGATGAACTTTCCTTGGTGAAAATAGTAAATATTGAGGTGGAATTCAGTTTCTTGAATTCTTTAAGGTTATTGTTTATTTTTTCTTTTTAAGAAAAATTGATGAGATCAAAATCATGCTTCAATATTAAGAAGGCAACTTAGATAAAAGATTGATGAATGTGAAATTTTTTTAATTGGTTGTAATCTATTTTGTAATGCATTTGGTGAATGAATTTGATAAAAGTAGAGCTATAGAGCTACAATCACATGGAGTTTTCTTGGCATTCACGCAACTCCAATTAGATCAGATTAGTTAGCTTATCTAAAATTTAGTCATTTTTTATTATAGTTTTTCAAATTCATAATATTACGAAATGGTTTTAAAAATGAAAGTAGGTGAAATCTGATAACCATCTTGTGAGTTAGAGTTAATGCTAATATTGACGGGTCTCTCCACTTACTTGATTTATGTTGTATTTTTAATGTGGGAAAGAAAGTGGTGTTTGAAAATATTGAAAATCGGTTGAGTATACCAAATTTAACATCCGAAAGTTAAATTCTTGTATTGAGAATTTGAATATTATTATTTAGTTGTTATGTTTATTCATTTTATTAAAATTGAAGTTATATCTTTAAATAAGAAGTTAGTTTTTTTTTTATTTTGTTAAACTTACCTCAGTGTTAAAGTTAAAGTTACGGATGTGTAAAGTTAAATATTTTTTTTTGTGAGGAGTTACTTATTTATGCAACTATATATAGTTGTACTTTTCTATTCTTATTTAAGTTTTTCTTCCTCTTAAAGAATCATTTTTTTTTTTTTTTTGTTGATGTTTATGTTGAGAACAAGTGTCTAAAAGTTCAGTGAGATCTGAGTAGTTCAAGATTATCATTCTGCTGGAGTTAATTGTTGTATCTTATTGAGACAATTGCTATAATCTGCTAGCAACTTGTGATACAAAGCGAATATTTGTCTTCAGGCTAGCGATATTGAAGCCTGCTTCAACTGAACTCATTAAGTTTTATTGTTTATCGAGTTGTCAAATTCTGTAATTATTTGTAACCAGTTACATTGTAATCTATTTTACCATTTTTTTTCCTTTCTTTTGGTTGTTAGGGCTATCCTTTTTTTCCCTATCATTTGAAAGCCTACTACTCAGTTATTAATTGATCTAGTATAGCTTTAATTGTCATGAAGCCATTATGTCTCATTTTCTTCAAGAAAAGGTCATCAATGGTTGCAATCTCTACTTGTAGCCAAATTTCCAATCAATAGTTTTCAAAGCCAAATAGTGTAACTTGAGGTTAAATGAATTGGGATTCAACCTTAAACAAAAGTAAGCAAAAAAGATGTCTTATTTAGCTTTTAGTGGGTGTGGTTGTAGAAGTTTGATTGGGTGTGTCAGGTGGAGGACATCGATATGCCAAGAAATAAAACATAAGTTATTTAGCCAGCTCCACCTCGAACCTTTTGAGGTGGAGAACTTAGTCATTCTTCCCTCATTGATTGACATCGTCCGTATTAAACCTCCCAGGTTCGATCTAAAAGATCCAATAGGTTCGACCTTCACTCCGACTAAGGTAACCCCCTGTCGCGAGGTCTGATTCAACACTTATAAATAGATGGCTTCATTTCAACCTCAGGTATCAAATTTCTCATCGAACCTATTATTAAGTCTGAGCTAATTACTGACTTGAGCATCTGAGATTTTGCCTTCTTGTGCAGACATTTCCATCGTGCTTGAAGTCAGAGCCAGGGCCGAGGTCGACCTTGACCAAGATTTGACCTTGTTCATTTACTTGCATAAACAAAGTTAAAATATCAAGTCAAAACAACTTTTGAATTTACGTGAAATGAAGTTTTAATTAGAAAACTATAATTTATTTGAGAATTAATAGTTTGGTTACACACATAAATTGATTTTGGATGTAATTCTTTCCATCATCAAATTCAAATAGATGCCTATTCATAGTACTCTTATTGATGGAAGTTTTAATTACAAGAAAATTAGTTGGTGTATGTGTGCATAGTATATTTCAATCAATACACACAAGAAACTTTCACAATTATTCTTTTAATTTAGTAGCTTTTTGTTGGGCACGTGGCATCATTAGATGAATTTGAAAATTTTAAAAAGAAAACCCTTCATGGTCAAAATTTAAAATATACTTGCAAATCGAGATTCAATATTGTGCACACCATTGATAATGTGAATATATTATTAGGAACTTGAATATAACTCATCTAGTTTAGATACTACTTCTGATAGAAAGATAGTGAATTCGAATCATCCCACTTTTTTACTAAAAACCAATCGAAAGATATGATTCTTTTATTATCTTCAAGCAAAATATATGATTCATTTGTTATCATTAAAGTAAATGTTTAAATATTATTTTGGTCCTAATACTTTCGGTCCCGTCATTTTGGTTAATGCAGTTTAAAAACATTCAATTTTGTCCCCATACTTGCAACATTTGTTCATTTTAGTCATTGTATTTTCAAAATATCCATTTTGGTCTCTGTAATTTTAAAAAATCACCAATTTGATCCCTATTTGTAAAATTTTAACACAATGAAAATCTTTCAATACAAATCTATGACAACATTTCAAGAAATTTAGTTAACGAAATATCATACTAAAACTATGATCGAAAAAAACGAGATAAAAAAAAGAAACAAAAGAACCAAAACAGTCACCTTTAAAAGTACTTGAATTAAAATATGCCTATAAAGGTACATGAATTAAAACTATTAAAAATATAAACGAAATGTACTACAACTAACGAAATAAAGTGGACCAAAATAGTATTTAAACTTTGTAGAATGGTTTCACGGGAGATTTGATGGTTGGGATGACGAAGTGTGAGAGCCCATATATCTAAATTGGGCCGTGAAAATGGGCCGCCTTTGAGCCCAATGAGCCCGTAATCAGTCCAGGCAGCCGTCAGGAGAGAAGATTCGTGGAATCGAAACTCCAAAGATCCAGATTCGAGGAAGGATAGATCGGTCATTAAGAGAAAAGATGGAAGGTCGAAATGGTACTTTCAGTGGCAGATACCACACAGCCATTACGCAAGGATACGGAGATTGGTGGGGAAGATGACTAAAAAGGCGCTCAAAATTATCATTCTGGACGCTTCTCGTCCTCCTCTGACCTCACCCTCTTCCCTAAAATCTCCCTTCCTTTTTCCTAATTCCACAAAATAGGGCACAAATTTTCCCAAATCTTTCAGTTAGTTATCTTCTCACTAGATTTTACAAAACCCTAGTTTCTCCTTCTCCTTCTTCTTCTTCTTCTTCTTCTTCTTCCCACTGTATATTCAAACAAAACCTAGGCTCCTTTTTCCCCTCCCACGGTGCCCTATCGTTTGTTGCAATGTCAGTCTCCGGTGGGGTTTCGATTGCCAGAATCCGTGGCGAGAATCGGTTCTACCATCCACCTGCGATGCGGCGACGTTTGCAGCAGCAGCAGCAGCAGCAGCAGAAGCAGAACGCCTTGGATTCTAATTCTAAGGAGGTTGCTTCTTCTACTAGGATCGATGAGTTGGACAAGAGGACTGAGTTCGATGAGTGTCGTTCTTGGTCCACTCGCTCTGATTGCTCCGTTTCGGATCGAACACTTGCTGATTCTACTAATTTGGATCGCTTCTTGGAGCATACTACTCCCCTCGTTCCGGCTCAATGTATTCCTAAGGTATTCATTCCCCAAACTAGTGTTTCCTCTTGCTGTGCTCGTCGTTTTGTTTTTTCGGTTAACTTCAAAGTAGTGCCTCATTATGATGGTAACCGAAGATATTTGTGTAAAGATTATCCTTTGCGAATTAACTTATGTGATGTGCGTAGAGAGCAATCAAGAACGATTCTTGTGATTATTAGCTTCCCGATGTTGTACTTCAGTTAATTAACCTTACATTTCTACCGTATTATTTTTAAGGTCTTTTCCCCTCCCCTTTTGTGCTTCTACATTGTATCTATAACTGTTGGAATCTTAATCTTAGTTTCTTCTTTGGATTTCCCTCATTTTTGCTTCTCTATTTTATCTATGAACACTTTAGTTTGAGTTTCTTTTTTTACTTTACCATTTTTTGCTTCTCTATTTTTTCTATGACCTGTTTAATGTGGATCTTAGCTTAAGTTTCTTTCTCTAAATATCTGAATTCAAGTAATTTTCCAAATCATTGAGTTGCTCCTAATTCCTAAAATTGGTCTTCTGGACGTTCAACAGACGAGCCTGAGGGGTTGGAGGACTCGTGAAGTCACAGAGGCGCCTCCTTATTTTGTGCTTGGTGATCTCTGGGAATCTTTCAAGGAATGGAGTGCATATGGAACGGGTGTCCCTCTTTTGTTAAATGGTAGCGACTCTGTGGTACAGTACTACGTTCCCTATCTGTCTGGCATTCAACTCTATATAGATCCATCTAAGTCCTCTGTTATAAGGTGAGGATTCTTTATTGGTCACCCTGTTCTTGTTTCTTATTCAGTATTTGCAACATGTTTTGTTTTTTCCTCTGCTCTTTTTATTTCCGAGCCAACCTTTTCGGTTGATTAAATTTGATAATTACGTGTCTATATCTGTTGGTTTAGAAATAAGTTTTTGCCTGATTGGCTGACTCTATCAATTTCATTGAAATCTGAGGATTTGTTTAACTTTTTTTATTTTATTTAAATACATAGGAATTAGATTATACCGGTTGGAATGCCAGCTACATTTTATCCTAATCTTGATAAGTTATACGTGTGACTGTCTTCATTTGGTACCAATTTCTTAGCCTTTTAAAAATATGTTGATTGATTCGAGCAGTCCCATGTTACTGATATTTTCATGTTTGAGGGTCTATGTATTATTGTTCATGATTCATCTGCAATCTGCAGTTCATTGAAATATTCAGTTTGTAAGGGCGCTATTGCCCTTTGATTTTCAATTGTGTTGAAAGGTGATATACCTGTTTTCTTGGGTAATGATTAGGCATGTATTGCTCATCTTATGTGGTTGCTGACTTTTTGAACATATCCACTTGGGTCTTGTCAATATATGCATAACATGGCTTGGCTTTGTTGGCTGTTCATTTTCCTCCCTTTCATATAATTTTAGTGTCTTTGCACAATAATTCTGATGACCATCATTTGTGATTTAAAAGATAACAGTAACAGGCCTTAAGCTGTGGCATCATTTGCCCCTAACACTAACCCATGTTATGTTAATTATTTCACCATCTCATTCATCTTTCCTTATGAGCTGCATGCATTAAGCTTTTTCCTTTTCAGTGGGCTTTTTCCTTATTAGTGAAGTTAATATCTTCTAGGTTATGCCATTTGCATTTTCTTTTTCAAAAATGCCTATTCTACATTATTTGTGTCATATGATTATTAATATGGAAAAGAATCATGATCGAGTTGTATTATTATTTTCTTAGCTAGCAAACATGGCAAGGTAATGGGTTTCTGGATATTCTAAATTGGTATTATATAAGTGTTCTATTTACATGAAGACTTGAAGTGCTGTCAGAAATTGGGTACATGGGATTAGTAAGGGAAGTTGTAATTTGATATTGTATTTTGTAGTAGAAGGTGTAGTGTGGATAGTGATGCTGAGTCCTCAAAGGAAACAAGCAGTGATGGAAGCAGTAATTGTGGAACAGAAAAGAAGATGAAGGCCGTTCTTCAAGATGAGTGGATCCATCACTCCACTATTCTGGGGTCACAAAGAGTTCAAATGAATGTTCCTTCTGCTGAGTCATCAAGTGATGAAAGTGACTCTTGCTACCCTCATGGTCAGCTTGTGTTTGAATACTTGGAGCGAGATCCACCATTTTGTCGTGAACCATTGACTGATAAGGTTGGTGCATTTTATTTGGCTGTTGTCCGTGGGGGTTATTACACCCTCCCTCTTCATCTTAGCTAACATTAACTTGCATTCAACAGATCACTATCCTTGCATCGCGTTTTCCTGAATTGAAGACACATAGGAGCTGTGATTTATCTCCTTCCAGTTGGATTTCTGTGGCATGGTATGTTTGTTTTGCCTCCTCTGGATTCCATACTACTATGATCCTAATCTGTTACTCTGACATAGTAAATTTCTCTACGAAGGTATCCAATCTATCGGATTCCAACGGGTCCGACTCTACAAAGTCTAGATGCTTGTTTCTTGACCTTCCATTCTCTGTCAACAGCATTTCAAGGTATTTCCTTATCTCATATTTTTATGAATATATATGTCATCAATCAATCTCCATGCCAGTGTATATTCTGCATGCCATTTTTTCCTTTTGGTATAAAGTTGGAGTGGATTGCTTTTTGGAAAAAATGTTCTCAAGGGCTACAGTCAAGTGTAGTTTGGTATTGTTGTAGTTTTGATCACCTGTAGTAGCTGTAATATGGGAAAACATCAGCTGTGACATAAAGATTCTGAGTATTTTTCATTTGAAAAAATGGAGAATTGAGTATTAAATACTTTTGTAGAAAACTTTTTAAGATAGTGTTTATTTGTTCAGGTATGGCCGTATGATGCCTATAATATATCAGCTCATAGTTTACAATTTGATTATGTTGTTTAAGATTTTCATAAATTGCATATATAAGAAAGACGTTCAGGAAAAACATTTCCGAATGGGGGCATCATAGCTTTTGTTTGGAACAGGCATTGGCACCGATGGTTTGCAGTTCCATTGGTCAAGAGCTAGAGAGGTGTACACTGCTGATTGCCCCCTCAAATTGCAGTTGCCAATATTTGGACTTGCTTCCTATAAGTTCAAAATTCCTTTTTGGAATTCGACTGGTGCGGAGGAATGTCCGAAGGCCAACTCTTTGTGGCAAGCTGCTGACAACTGGCTCAGGTTATTAAACGTAAACCATCCTGATTATAGATTTTTCGCATCTCACAATTCATTCTGGAGATGATAACAAGGGTAGTATGCATGATTTCTTAAATGTGGGATTACAGTGTCTTAAGAGGAGGATCTAATTCCTAAGAAACTCGGTTCTCCTGAATGTTGTGAAAATTTATATGGCATCTTTAGCTTTTTTTTTTTTCTTTGAATTTGTACGTTTGACCATATAAAGGGTTTTGTACAGGGAGAATGATGTTGATAGTAATATTTTACGGTTGACATGGGGATTGGGTTTTAGGATAGTAGTTATTCTGGGAGCGGCCAATCCCCTATGGTGTTAGTCTATTCTTCCATGTGTTGAGATATGAGTGAGTGGTGATGGGAATAGGGCGGTTGTGGACGAGCAGAGAAACTGCTGCCAATAACAACACCGCCTTTTTTTTTTCTTTTTACTTTAAATTGTGGATTAGATTTGTAACTTTCACTGGCACCTCGATAATGATGAAAAGTAAATCTAGTGTGTTAACTACAATCTCGCCGTATTTAACAGTTGATGTGATAATTTATTTACTGCTGGGTTTTAAGTGTTTTGAATACCATCTTTCTGCTCTGTATGACTTGCTATTGTGATCAAATCGTCAACATTTTCTATGTGCATTTGTTCTGTATTGTCATGTCATTTCATTCTTTTTATTTGGGATTCCCTTCATAGTTGATATTTTTATTCGCTAAGAAAGATGATGTTTTTTGTTTCTTTTTTCAAGTTACTTTAGTATTGGACAATTATTTATGTTTCTTATTTCTCATTTTTTTAGAAACCTTTTGCTATTGTTTTGAAATTTTGAAAACATAAAAAGCCAGTTTTTTTTATTTTTTGTTTCTGCTTTTAATCAAGTTTCCTTCTTTATTCAATTAGAAAAAATGAAAAAAAAAAATAGTTATCAAATGTAATTATATGTTTCTTTAACGAGAACCTTATCAAATGAGTACTTTAGTATTTTCTTTTCCTCCGTAATTTTAAGAGAACCGATAGCCAAACTGATAGATTAACCACCATTCATGGTGTCATTTATGGGATGTTTTATAAGCAGAGTAGTTTTAATTTTCAGATTGATATTTCACGAACTTTCGACCTTCAGAGAGATTACTAGTGCTGGTTGAGTTAGTTGGGTGAAGGTCTCAACTCTGCTTTACGTTGTGTCGGGTAAATTTAATTTGCAGGAACAAAAAAAATTGCAATAGTGAAGGTGACTGCAGCTCATTAAGATAACTTAGGGTCCCTTGGTCCTACAGGGCGGTTAAGGAGTTGTGTTAGGCTGAGTCGTGAATCAATGTTAATTCTTAAGGTATGTTTGGGAGTTGCCATTGTCAGTTACTTTTCTTTCCATGGACGATGTTTAGCAAATTAAAAATTGAGTTTAGGAAAATTGAAAATCACTTTAAATTGATTTTTAAGGTATTATTTGGAGATGATTTTGAAAAATTAATTATACTTATCTCTTTTTTCGAAATCACTAATTCTACCTCACTTCTCAACACACTTCATGTAATTCATACTTTTTCAAAGATTTAGTAACCAACATGAAATCTAATTACACAAGTGGACTGTGTCAGGGCTTCTTGGATTGGGCCTTTTTGATGGCCCATTATATAATCATATTAAAGGACAATAGGAAATTTAATTACATAGAAGCATTTTTTGTCGAACTCTTGTAGAATGATCACGTGACAATAAGCATTACAGGGTAAATTTGTCTATCGCTGGAACACACTGAATGGCATAATTTTGCTCAAAGGCACAATAGTCCTTGCAAAAAATAAAAATAAAAACCCCAATCCACAAATTGAGGTCTTCATAATTATTAGAGGTATGCATTTTCAATGTAATATATATATCAAAATTTAAGCCTATTTATTGTGAACTTAGGATTATACTTTTATGAACCATTGGTTATCACAAACTCATTTACAAAAGTTTAGATTTCATCATGATTTTTCTGAGAGAATACTATGATACCTACAAACCTAATATCTAAATCCATAATTCATCGAAAAAGTATCAACAGGAAGGCATAACATCTCTATTTATATTTAACACAAAAAACCCATTACTAAAACTAATTAACAAATTTGTTATCTCTCTACGTCGTATGTAGCATACATGTTATTGTCGTAAACTACAAATACAGAATGGATTATAAAATTAAAGTTCAGACTCTTCATGCGTAGCTTTCGTAGCGCAGTTGGTTAGAGCCCCCGCTTAGTAAGCGGGAGGTCTTGAGTTCGACTCTCAACGAGATCAGTTTTATCCTACAAATTTTTTACAAAATTTTCCGTGTATACTTTAAGCCAGGCCCAAGCCCACTAATAAAATGGGCCAAACCTAAACACAAAGTAACTTGGGCTAAGATCAGCCCACAAAATCTAAACCAACAAGGTAGAATTTTAGCCGAGGCATGGTCAACGAACAATGACATAAGTCGACAATATATTTATATATTATTTATTTATCTTAAATGACAGATCAGCATCATGCAATGATGAGAATATCCAAAAAATTAATAATTGAGGTGAAGGGTAATTCAGAGAATTATGAACACACATTACAACTAAGAAACCATTGGCTTTCACATTTTATGATTCATGAAAGATTCCCCAAATCCCTCTTGATCTTTGTAACATATGAGAGAGTGCATGGCAACCCAATCACTCCAATCATAACCCCTCCAACAATCCTCATTTTTGCATGGGTGCCTCCCATGATCGTTCCACGATATTCGAGACGTTGTTGTCTATTTCATCCTTTTACTCGATGTCGGATTATGGTCGCACCCCCTTAACATCACATGAGTATATAAAGTTATTCAATTATTTAGACCAAGATAAAAAGATGGATTATATTTATTTTCATAGGTACCACGACATCAGCTTCTAAAAAAGCATAGGAATATATGCGCAAAAAGTCAACTCTTTCACACCACTATGAGAGATTTGACAACTTATTTTTGGAAATCATGGGTGAGAGGATGATCTCACACTTCTTGTGTTAGGAGACAAGAAAATCTCTCGTAGTCGTACGTATGTCTGGGGTTTAAATCTATATGAATTTATTTTCAACCTACTCTATACAAAAGAGCTCATACAAATGGAGATGTTTTCTATTAATTCTCGACCAACGAGGTAATGGAAACACGACATTTCGGGCTATTTATAATGAAACTAAAAAGAAGGCAAAAGCTAATTGGAAGCAATGAGAAGGGCCATAAGCCACAAATGGCAATTATATGGCAAGGCGTGCCGGCGAGGAAGGAGGCAAAGGACTGAGGAGTTTAGTGGTTTTTTTTTTTTTTTTGGGTAATCCAAAACCTAAAAGCAAAAACAAAGCTCAAAGAAATGTGTGAATTGAGACAAAAAGTGTAAGAAAAAAGAGGAATTAGTTATGAAGTTTTGGTTTTTGGTTGGCAAATGGGTGTGGAGTTTTGTGGATGAAGACGTCCATTTTGATGCCATAGGGCCCCTCCTCTTCCCTTTCTTACTTCACACGTTGTTTCCAATCTCTCTTTCAATTATTCTCCTAAAAAAAAACTATACTTTTTTTTTTCCTTATGTTCATGATAATCTCACGTGCTCAATTATACTTTGCCTTTTCTTTCTTTCTACTTTGTTTTTTTTACAACCTAGTGGCACTCTATCAAGCCTAGGAATCTAGGATGGTTGGGTTTTTGCAATCTAAGTATCCAAGTTTGTTTCTTTTATATTTTTCAGTGTTTGGGTTAAATTTGTTAGAAGCGAGACTTTTTAGCGTGATTAAAAAGTCATTTACATTGTGTTTGTTTGATTTGAGTAGGATGTCGGTTAAACGATTTAGAGATTTGGTAGCTACAATCTAACTTATGGTCAATTTTTCTTTTTTTGACTCATCCAGACTAAAATCTAACTGACCCATAAAACGTATTGAGACTCTGTCAAACTCAAAAGTCAAATTGGATTCAATTGGATTCAAATTGGAATTGGATTCTACATGAATCGGTCGACAATGAGCTTCTCAAAGTGCTTTCAAACCCTCAACGATCGCCATGACCTCAAGGTAAGATACATCTCTTTCCTCTTATATAACCCTTATAAGTTTATAACTCGTTTTAAAAGTCAACTTATAAGTTATAAATATCATTTAATGGATGTGTTACTTGTTTCTCATCCTCTAATTTTACAAATATTTTCAAATTACTTTGAAAACTAAAATAAAATAGTTTTTAAAAAACTTGTTTTCATTTTGAAATATAGCTAAGAAATCATGTAGGTTTTAGTAAATGTAAAAATCATACCAGAGATATTATTAAGAACCAAACATAACTTTTTAAGATAGAAAACTAAAACCAAAATTATTAAGAGTGAAATATTTTACCATTAACAATAGTGGAATATAACAAGATAAATTATAATAGCAAGCATAATGAGAAAGAGAAAATGACTCTGAGATAGATTTTTCTTTTCTACAAATTAAATATAACATACACAAACTAATCTTATTTTAAAGTTTCAAATACTACTAAACAAATTTTAACTAATTTAGATTTAAGTCACACCCAAAAATAAAGTTATTAAATAAAAAGTTTCGAAATTATATAAATAAATGTAAAATCATATATCATTAACCAGTTCAAATCTCAACTCCAACAATAGTAAAAAGTTAATAATTCATGCAAAAAGAATAATTAATAGTAAATTATACTCCTACCGCTTCTATGTCTATCCAATCATTAAAACAAACCATCATCAGAGAAAGACACAAGCCGACATGAACATGACTACATTACTTATCTTCAATTTTTTTTTTAGAATTAGTTAAAAAAATTAATAATATTAATACTATAGATATTTTATTGACATATAATTTTTTCATGTTTCGTGTAATACTATATAAATGTTGATTCGTTTTCCGTCTCGATTATCAATATCGAATCTAGGAACATACAGAAATACAATATGTTGACGGAAGTTAAATATCTTACCTCCTTAAAGGCTAGAGATTTGAATTATACCGCTCTAAATAAATAAATATATAAAAAGAAGGAAAATGATTAGATTTAAAAATTAAAGAGAATGAGGAATGGGATGATAAAGTATGGATATATGGATTAAAATCAAAAGCTCACACGGTGGGTTCTATTTCATTGACGTGTGGGTCCCACTTTCAAGTACTTTCCAGATGGACGGCTGTGATTCCAACAAAAGTACTAAATTGTCATTTTACTCACCTCACCTGCCTCTCATTATAAAACAAATTGTTTTTATTTTTCAAATAATAACAATTTTTGGGCCCTTCCAGCTGCACCGACTTGGTTTTAACGGCTTCCGGCCGTAGATGGCAAGCCCCTACTGTACTATTTTCCAGATTTGATAAAAAAAAGAAAAAGAAAAAGAAAAATGAAATAGACACGACCGCGTCGTGGGCGCACGTGCGGCAGAAGTGGGCCTGAATTTGATGTAAGACGGCGGAGCCCAGCCCAAATAGTTCCCTTTGGCCCACTCTTTTCCCTGTCGTACGCGTTGCCATCTGCCCTCCCTGCCCGTTTTGTATCGTCCCACACGCCACCTCTAAATAATTTTATATTTATAAGAAAATAAATCTTAAAATTAAAAAAAAAATCTAATTTTTACTAGGTAATGTGGGTTAATTTTTGTTTTACCTTCATCAGCTGAAGTTAATGTCAGAATTTTAAAAGCCTCGCTTAAGTTTAACCATAAAATGAAATAATAATTAACAAATTAGTGCATAAATCAAGCTTTAACGAACTTAACTCTACATTAGATAAATAAAAATCTAAATCTATACATCAAAGGTTCATTGATTATACATACACTAATAGGTACCAATTATGATTGAACTAAACTCATATTGACAAATAACAATCGATTCAATACAAGTATTGATTGATTCTAGTATGATATGACATATAAATGACAATCATAAATAAATAACTGGATAAAATAAAATGACACGTAACATATCAATGACAAAACTAAGTAAATAGCTAGACAAAATAAATGGCATATAAGACATACCTCTTTTCAAATATTTTTCATTTACCACCCCAATAAAGCAAAACAAAGTTCACTTCTCTATCATTTATTTACTGGTCATGTCAAATCAACCAAAATTTATTTAGTTATATGTCACGTGCATCATCTAATTCAAAGTTTATGAACATATAATTAAAACTCAAAAAAAGTAAATATAATAGACTTAGCCAACACAATTATTACATTTTTAAAGCAATACATCGAATCTTCCATTTATTCCGTTAAGGATAGAAACTACATAGAATCGTAATTGAAAATCAACTAAAAATTTATAAGATTTAGATATTAAACGGAAACAAATTATTTATTATTATTATTATTATTATTATTATTGGGGTAAATGGTTAGTAGATAATGATATTGATAGGGGTGGGAGAATGCAATGCAGGTAAGTTTGAGAGCAGAAAAAAAGTAAATTTGGAGTTTTTGTCAAAGCTCCAGCAGTCGCCACGTGGCAATCAAAAGCACGCCACCTTCCACCCACTTTCTTTAATACTCGCGCCCGCGCGTGGCTCTTCCCTTCTCAAAAGCACAACCATTTTTCTATTCCTTTATTTATTTTTTTTTCTCAGTGATACTCCTCATAGTTCACTGGTCAAATACTTCAACGATAATTGATATAGATTTTAGGGTTGTAGTTTCTATTGTATAAAAAGGATTAAAATAAATATTAATAAATAGACCAAAATAATATTTGAATGAAAAAAAATTACTCCAATTCAATGTCATACCACATGTCAAACATGCATAATCATCAAATCAAATTTGCATAGTCCGAAACCAATAAAAATAGAATTTAAGTTTATTAGTTATTAGTTAAATTAACTAGAGTTTGTTTCTTGAATGTTCATGTTTGTGTCTTGTATAAGTTTCTAGACTTATTTAGATATTCAAACTTTTAATTTTATATTTAATGAGGTTTTTAATATAGCAATTTTGTGTCTTGCACTTTAATTTTGTATCTTTTAAAATTTTAAAAGTATTTGGTACATTAGAAGTATTGAAAGTTTAAATACATTTTAGAATTCTAAAGTTGAGAGACTTGTTTTATGTAACACTAAAAATTTAGAAACCTATTACACACTTTTTAACATTCAATGACTAAATTTAAAAATCTATATTACACACTTTTTAAAATTCAATGACTTATTAGATACATAAAACTATGAAAATTCTCATCGACGAAAATTGTAACTTAACCTAAGTACTCGATTTTTTAGGTTATATCATGGATTTAATCTTTTAATTGTATTTATGGAAAAAAAACTTTTAATTACGATTTTTGTTGGGAATACTATTAACTAAACAATGATGTGTGACATACTTGACAAACTTCTGCCTAATTTGGTACGAAACAACAAAACAAATGGTAGAATAAAATAAATAGTTAACTAAATTGAATGACAATTCATAATAACACTTAATATATTCCTTAAAAGAGTATATATGTGGTTTCGTATATATGATACCTTATTCTTCGGTATAATTAACCACTTCCTCCTTATGTCATCTATTTGTCACGCCGTATAAATTTAACAACATTATCGGTATAAAATTCATAGAATAACACAATTGAGTCAACCAAAACTTGTTACAATTTCGATTCTTTTTACACACAAAATAAAAAAAAAAGTGAGTTTGGAGGATTTTTTTTCCCTCTCTCTTAAGTTTACTTGATTTTGACAGAGGACTTATGGCATGCACATATTCATCGTAAGAGGGGGCAGAGGAAAAGAAAAAGGAATATACGTTTGCAGCATAATTCTCCCAAACAAAAAAAAAAAATTGAAAACTTTACCAAAAGCTCACTTCTTTTCTTGCAATTCAACTCCAATACAATAATAAACAAATACCCAAGTGGGGATTTCTCCTTTTCTCTCCCTTTGGTTTGAATTTTCAAACTCCCAAATAACCAAAAAAGGTATCACAAATTTTCCCATCACACCCATTTGATAAAAAAAATTCATTTTTCAATACCGCAAAAGTAGGATACTCCTTCCATTTACTGTTTACCGCAACTCCCACGTGTAACTCTACGAGTGGGCGAAAGGGAGATGACGTGGCACTAAGAAAACACACAAAAAGGGCAAAAAGGGACTTCAAAAGCAGAGCGTGCAACTGAAAAGGGAGAGGATAGAGTTGGGATTCTGGTTTTGGTTTTGTTGGTATTATCACTCACAAGAGTTTTCCCATCTCCCAATATAAACAATAACATAGGATATATTATTATTTATCTATTAAGCTTTCTGCACTTCCCTCTGCAACTTTAAAAAAAGGGAGGAGATTTCAGAACTTCAACCATTGAAACTCTCTTCTTTTGAAGCAGACAAATCCAACACCCCTTTCTTGCAATAATGGCATTATTGTATTTCCCCACTATTTGACCTTTTGGGTCAACCCCAATCTCTCTTTAGGATGTTTCAAACTCTCCTAAGGTCACAAATATTGTCCCATTTGTACTAGGTTTGCATGTTCCACACTAAGTTTTATAAGTTTGATGAAATGTATGAGTTAGTTCAAGAAAAGTTTGGTGATAATTTAACTTAATAACTTGGTCAAGAAAAGTTCTTCCTTATGACTGCATCTTGCTCTTTTCAAAAGATCATATGAAATTATTATTCCTTTATGAATCATGTTATGTATATTTCTAGGAACTTGATCTATAATTAATTAGAAGCATAGGGTTTCTTTTGAACTTTTGTCCTACAAAAAACATATACAAATTTTATTTAGGGAAAAAAAGCTTTGAAAAATTATGTGGATATGTAGGAGCTTTGTTGACATATAGATTTGACCATTATTATGGTTGAAATCTATTATGACATATAGAATTTAATGGTCCAGAATAGGTTTCCAAGAAAATCTAAAGAATATAAGAATTTATATCAAAATTTCAAGCTCAAATTTGAATTTGCAAGGTTGCTGTAATGATGGGCTCTACTGAAAATATTGGTGATCGTTTACAAATACTCTCTCACGAATAAAGAGTTTGAAGACAATGTAGAAAGTTTAGTATAACAACATATACATATGTCTCGTCTTTTCGGAGATAAATGAGAGAATATTATTGAGTATAGAGTATATGTCCGAGGTCATGTGACTCATGTCTTATTAACTTTAGTACTAGTGGGATATTGTCACGGTTTGGACTTTACACCTAATTGTAATTTTTCTTTTCAATTCAAGTACAATATGAGGTGGAGACTCGAATATTGGATCGTTAGCACGTACCTTAACCAGCCAAGCTATGTGTTCACGTGAGCTAAACTTTTTAATCTAATTGTATATTATCTAAATATAAATAATAAATAAAGACTATTTATTTTAGTAGATGCATCTTGTCTTTAATTCACTCCTGAATTATTAACACAGTTAATCTATGCCGTCTTAAATTATCATATGATCTCCCATTTAAGAAAGATCAAATTATTACCAACAAGTAATTAAGTATGAGACTTAACAAAAAGTTTATAATATAATTGAGTTACTTCTCTCATTACCAATTAGTTTTGACGTAGAACTTCTTATAAATATTAATATAATATCATAGTCTAAAAAGCTCAAATGAGCATCCAGTCTAAAAATATGATTCGGCAAAAACTGGTGAATCTGAAAGAATTATAAACTTGTCTTGCTCAGAAAAGGGATAAGGAAGCATATAAATAAAACCTCAATGCTTATCTTTCAGCTAATTCCACCTCAGCAACTATTAATGTAAGAATTCAAAATCACATGTTCAATATGATGACCTTCTCGATAAAAAGATGAAATTGACATAACTATAAAATCGAGAATCATATCCTGTTAAATGAAGACAAATTCTCTTCAAATACAAAAGATCATTAAACACATGGCTACCATATGATGGTAGTAAAATTAGAAGCATGCTCCCTCCAAGCAATAGGAGGAGAGAACTACGCTTATGGGTCAAAGATGCTTCCTTTTAGAATGGACTCATCTCAACACCACAGTACGTTTGTTTGTTGTTCCAGTTTCGTGGCAATTTTGTTCTACTCTACCATATTTGTAAAAGGGAAATGAAAAGTGAAAAACACTGTACGAGATTTGAATGTTTAAGAGTAGATTTTGGGATTTTGGGTGTGTGGGTTAGTTAATCTTAATCCTGTGTGAGCTGGATCCACTCTCCCAAGAGTGACCCACTTTGAATAAAATATTATGATAAACCAATGAACAACAAGCCCCTAAATAAACAGAGAAATCGAGCTCCAAGCAGGAACAGGGTCCTTCAACCGTTCTCCTCCAGTCTCCCAAAGTGTGCTGTATATAAAAATTTCTCTCTCGAACTCCCACTTCCTTCCCCTCTTTCTCTCTGATTTCGCCTCACCCCAGATGGGTTCTCTTAATTTTCCCACTTTTGGGGTCAAAAGTTCAGTATGAAATGCAGCCATCTCAATTTTTGGCGTTTCTATTGATTTCGCTGGTCTGAGATTTGGTCTACTGAGGGGTAAATCTGAATCAAGTGGAGGGGATCGATGTCTACGGCCAGTTCGAGCTCTGTCAGGAAAGCCGCCGAAGCTGTCCCCGACCAGTTTCCGGCCGGCCTCCGTGTCCTGGTTGTCGATGATGATCCGACCTGCCTTATGATCTTGGAGAAGATGCTTCGTATTTGCCGCTACGAAGGTACCCTTTTCAATTCCAAGTGACATGTATTGTGCTTCTTGTTTCGTTGTTCATGGAATCTCTCAAATCTGTGTTATTCGCTTCGTTTTTTGCATACCCAAATGCGATATGGATGGTTTCGTGGGTGTACAAAGTGAAATTACTCTCACGTCTGTTGCTATTTCTTGTGTTTTTTCTGTGCCTCGAGTTTCAATTTGGGATTTGAGAGTCTATTTTGAGCTTGGGGATTTGGATACAGGGTTTTGTTGTTTTTCCCCCATCTTTACAAATTTTCTTGATTTGAGATCGTGAGTTGCTTTAAAGATTCTGAGTTTCCTCTAATTTTGACTCGTTTGTATCCAAAATCTCTCTTCTGAGTTGCCCATCTGTGGATTAGGGAACATGTCTATCATTTGGTTGTGGTCTTTTTCCGACACCAGAGGTTCTGTTCTCATGTAAATTGGAAACCATTAATGGAGAAGTTGTCTTGTTTTTGGGTGTTGCAGTAACAAAATGTAGTCGAGCAGAGGATGCGCTGTCTCTTCTCAGACGGTATAAAAATGGGTTCGATATTGTTCTGAGCGACGTCCACATGCCCGACATGGATGGATTCAAGCTTCTGGAATACATTGGATTGGAAATGGACTTGCCTGTTATCAGTAAGAAATACATATTTCATGAATTTGAAGTTTCTAATAGTGAATGATGTGGCTTGATGAACTTATTTCTGATACATGGATTTGTGTAGTGATGTCGGTTGACGATGGGAAAAACGTCGTCATGAAGGGAGTGACTCACGGTGCTTGTGACTATCTAATTAAACCAGTTCGAATTGAAGCATTGAAGAACATATGGCAGCATGTTGTTCGCAAGCGAAAGAATGAATGGAAGGATTTGGAGCAATCTGGATGTGTGGATGATGTAGATCGGCAGCAAAAAACGAATGAAGATGCAGATTATTCGTCATCAGCTAATGAAGGGAGTTGGAGGAACTCAAAGAGGAGGAAGGATGATGTAGAAGATGCCGAAGAGAGAGACGATTCATCGACCCTAAAGAAACCAAGGGTCGTTTGGTCCGTTGAGCTGCATCAACAGTTTGTGGCTGCTGTTAATCAACTAGGAATTGATAGTATGGATTTTCCTCTCTTCTTTTTAGACTCAATACCATTTGGAGTTCTAGCATTGACTTCCATAAATCAAATTCCGTATTTGGCTTTTGTAAACTTTTCTTTCGAGTTCTAGCATGATTTTAGATATCATGAGTTTGTTTAAGCATATATTTTAGTAATTCTTTTAACATTTGTGGTATGCCTTCTCTTTTAACGTTTCTCTTACAGAGGCTGTTCCCAAGAAGATTCTGGAGTTGATGAATGTTCCTGGACTCACTAGAGAAAACGTCGCCAGTCACCTTCAGGTAAGGACCGAACGAGTATGTTGTTCATTTTCATGAGGGCTTGTCTATCCCAGGCTCAAAATTTTCCTATTGGATTCTAAATATGCTGCACCCTTTTATGCATAGAAATATCGCTTGTATCTGAGAAGGCTTAGTGGAATCACACAACACCAGAGTAATTTGAACAACACATTCATGAGTGCCCAAGAAGCAACATTTGGGCCAATGTCGTCCCTGAATGGACTCGATCTCCAAACTCTCGCTGCTGCCAGTCAACTCCAGCCACAAAGCCTTGCTACACTCCAAGCAGCTGGATTTGGTAGGCCTACCGCAAAATCGGGCTTGCCCATGCCTCTTGTTGATCAAAGGAATCACATCTTTAGCTTTGAAAATCCGAAGTTGAGATTCGGTGACGGGCAACAGCAACATCTGAACAGTAGTAAACCGGTGAACCTACTTCATGGAATTCCAACAACAATGGAGCCAAAACAGCTCGCTAATCTACAGCATTCTGCACAATCTCATGGGAACATGACAATGCAAGCTAATGCTCAAGTAGGCCAAAGTAGCTCTCAACTCATGCAGACACCTCAACCACAAGCTCGAGCACAGATCCTTAACGAAAGTACCTCAACTAGTGTAACGAGGCTTCCACCAACAATACAGCAGTCGATTTTGCCAAACGGAACCACCGGTGGGGTTTTGGCAAGGAATGAATTCACCAATAACAGTAGAGGTGGAGGGTACAATCTAGTTACACCAGCCTCAACAATGATAAATTTTCCCATGAACCAAACTGCAGAGTTGCCGGGTAACAGTTTTCCTCTTCAAAGTACCCCAGGGATGTCAAGTATAGTACAGAAGGGAAGATTCTCGGATGGGGTTAACTCAGACATTAAAGGATCCGAAGGTTTCGTGCCAAGCTACGAAATGTTTAGGGATCTGCATCCTCAGAAGCCCCATGATTGGGACTTGCAACACGTAGGTGTGACCTTCGATGCATCTCAAGGTAGTCTCGCACTCGACATTCCTCCGTCAGCTTTTGCTCATCAAGGGTATGCCTCTAGCCAACAAAACGGACAAAACAGGAATGCAGCTACTGCTGGCAAGGCCATGTTCTTGTTGGAAGAAGAAACTGGCAATGGGAATTCACAAAATATGGGTCAACAACTCAACTCTATTTTCGTCGATGGTTCCGTTAGAGTTAAAGTTGAAAGGGTAGCTCCTGATACCGGCAGTCAAACTGACCTTTTTCCCGAACACTTTGGTCAGGAGGATCTAATGAGTGCACTTCTTAAGCAGGTTTGAATGCAATACCTTCTTTGAATCATTTTGAGTTAAATCGAAAACTTTTAGGCCTGTTGGAATTAAAATTGAAAGTTAACAGACTAAACTAGTAACACCTATGACTTTGCTTTTAACAAACACCCCCAAAAAGGGGAAATTTTTATTTTGGAAGAAAAGTTCTTATGGAGAAAGAAAGAAGGATAAAATATGGAACTTGCGATATAAGTTTACCATGGTTATTGCTAACAAATGTGGTAAATCTTTTATTTCTCAGCAACAGGGAAGCATTGGAACAGCTGAAAGTGAGTTGGAATGGGTATTTCATGCATAGTACTCCCTGTTTACTTGCTCTGTAGCTTGCAGTTTTCGATGCTCATGGCTGCTGAACATAATCTAATCTTTATGCAATCAGACGGGGTCGATCACTTTGGTTTGGTAAGCAGAGAGAGCATGTGAAAAGGCGTAATCTTGCTGATTTAGACGGGGATTGACCTTTCGATTCAGCAGGGGAGACCATATTAGACAGATCATTTAAGCTGTAATATTCTGAAGCTGGATTAGCACAAAAGCATACTATGCAAATTTGCATATGTGCAGATTCTTTCGACCGCTTCCACAGAGAGACTAACTTGAGTCTGCTTGTGGAATCGGCCATCACTGCAGTGCTCTTGACGATGCCTGGAATCGAGATTTTTGACGCAATTGCAGGTTTTAGGAAACCCTGTCTACGACTCCAATAACCTACTGAAATAATGCTCTTCCTATGTTCAAAGCAATTGCAGTTCACTTTTCATGTATATATTCTGTTGGATGGTTCAAGACACAAGTCTAGGAAACACTCGGTTATCCTTTTTTGTACTCGTAAAATTTTGAGATTGTCGTTAATACCGTTTTGTTGTTGCCTTAGATATTGATTTTCAGTTTCAGCCATTTTTGTCTCTGTTTCTAAGGTACATAAGCTTCATAGAAGATGGTGATTCTCATGTTCACAATATATTAAAGCAATGAAGTTGTTATATTATCCGCTAGTTTCCTTGTTTTCGAGTCTAATGTGATTGATTGACAAGGCATCTTTAGTTTGGATATATTCTAATGGAAAAGGAAATGAAGAAATTGCAGTACTAATATTGGCTCAAAATTTGTTCTTGAAAATTTTGCAAGCAATTCATAAGAGATTATGTGAAAGGAGGTTGGTTTAATTTTCACACTTATTCCACTTTTCTTTTTTCCAATATTGGTGTAATATTTCGTTCTCTTAAACTTTCCTCATATTTATTTTTGCCCCTTATAGTTAAATTTGTATATTGTATATAATAAAAATCTTAAACCACTAGAATTTTAAATTTGATTCCAGAGATATGTGGCTGAGAAAGACATAAAAGTTCTATTAAATGTTACATAAAAATTTAATAACAATGAGTAAGAAAACTTCTTCAATGAAATTTAGAAGTTATGGGCACTAACATGAGTTCACTTTAAGTGCGAAAAGAAGCGATGTAAGTCAAACCACTCGAGTCAATGCGATCGAATCGAACCATATGACCAAAAAGAAGTGATGTAAGTCAAACCACTCGAGTCAAGGCGATCCAATCGAACCATATGACCAAAACAGACCCGATTCGACCCAACCTAGCTAATCCGTCCAGGTCAATTCTTACACAACTCTACTTTTTGCTACTCTCAGCTAAACCCTACATCTAAATTAGACATGGAAATGTGTTGGGTTTAATACTGATATGCAGATCTCTTATGTGTGCAAGTGTTAGTCGAAATTGATCCAAATCCTACATCGACATTCTCAAATGGACAAAATCATGAAAGTAGCAACATGTCAATATTCATCACAAGAGTAAAGAATTTTAAATGTGTCAAAGAAATATGTCTAATTGATATATTAAAGGGAAAAAGTAGGGGTAAGGGTAACATTGTAATAACAGAAATTACACAACAAATTTTAAGTGGTTGACCACCAAAAGTCATTCAGAAACAATTACATGAACACACCCCTTTCTTCTTCTTCATCACAATATATTGTAAAGAGAAGTATAGAGCTCAAAAATAGAAGCCATGAGAGCTGGCACTGGCAGAGCAATGATCACATTTAATAACAAACATTTCTTGATTTACTCTCTTCATGTAGCTTCTTTGCAAGAGTATTCATCATCTCATCACTCCATATATCTTCTTCAATACCTCAAAGAATAAACAAATGAACAGCAGCTACAAGATCATGTAATCCTGTCTCGTCCGTCCCGGGTTATTGCTGAATAAACACAAACACGAGTAGTAGAATTAGGATGCTCGGAATGAATGAAGCTATGTTTCTACGACTGTCGTTGGCTGGGAGTAGTTTTGGAAGCAGACATTCCTCCCCATTGAAGAACACTTTTGTGGGGAACCCATCTCCAGCAGCCATGTTAAGACCGGGTAAGTTCTTCTTTGTAAATGAGATCACGGATTGTTGTTTTCCAGGTACCCTCGGATCCTTCGCTGGGTTAACACCGTCCGCTTCGGCCACGAGATAGTTCAGTCCAGGATTACCCTGCATGAAGATTGTATTGTTGAAACCATCCAATTCCAAGGTGGTTGCATTGAACGAGTACATTGCCTGGAAACCTGGTGCTGCTTTGTTCATCTCAACTGCAGCAAACCAATCTGCAAAATTCACTTCGTCCCAGTTGAAGAGAGTGATCCTCGCACTCCACCCATCTCTATAATCGGTATATAAATGCCAATTAATACTGACACCGCAGTTATCCGCACAAGGCTTCGGGTTAGGAATTGGGAAATGTTTAAGACCAGCCCAAGCAACAGCCTTGACAGTCCTATTCTCAAAAGGAACAAGAAGTGCATCAGGTGGAAGGAGCATTGCAGGGGCGGTTGCATTACAAGTATTGGCCGAGTTATGCGAGCATCCACAAGCACAAGTTCTGCATGGGACGACAGAATCGTTGTAGAAAGCCGAAAACGAAACACAGCACTTCGGGCTGTCACCCTTGACCTGTGTTATATTACAAACAACCTGCCAGCTAGCAACTGCAGTCGAATTCAATGGTAAACCACTTGAATCAGCGGACTGGCTAGGACTTACCCTCACTGGAGGGCCACATTTATACGTGGGGTTGAGAATGCCACTGATCTGCCAATTCTGGGGAGGTGTAAGCTGGGATCTATTGAGATCCGGTGGCATTTTAAACACTTGCATCTGAAACGCAGAAACCGACTTGGTCGGGTCCATATGAGAGGGCAAGATAGTACCATTTCGACAGCAGAAAGGGATCATTCCAAGAGTGGTGTCGTTGGCCTTGGTCGGAGGCAAATCAATAATTGTCGGTCTTCTCTCACAACTCAATACATTGGCAAAGTCTAGATCCCGATAATAAGTGCCTTGTCTACCGAAAATGCAATCAGTAGAATCAACAACAGAAGGATAGGCCCCTTTCATTGAATAGATAAACTCATCCCTCATCCAATCCCAGCTCAATTGCCAATAGTCAAGACGACCCAGAGGATTATGGTTAGAGATTGTGACTTGTGCCCAATAACTTGAATCATAGGTCCTTGTTACATCATACATGATCGTTAAATCGCCATTTTGACGTGGCAAGAACTCTTCACTGGTTGTGATGTTTGTTTTAACGCGTGGATCGGGTGTGCAACAGACGTGCATCTCACTCTTTCCTGATATTTTGAGAAATCAAATTCAAATTTAGACTCAAACTCAAACTAAGCTCTAGAAATTGCAGATAGAATCAAAGGGGAAAGAAAGC